TCTTTGCTGAATAAAATTATTTTTTTTATTGAATGGCATTCTTTTTTATTAGATGAAAGGCCACTATTTTGTCACCTTCTTGAAAATTATCAAATCCTTTCAGGACAATTCCACATTCTTGGCCGGCACTGACTTCATTTTTTTCTACTTTATTGCTTTCTAAACTTTTGATTTCTCCACTAAAAACTTTGTTTTCTTCTTTTCCTTGGAGGACATAAACTCGTTTATTACGGCTGATTTTTCCGCTAGTTACTTGGCAGCCCGCAATGTTGCCCTTCGAAAATTCAAAAACTACTTTTACTAATGCTGTTCCTACTACTTCTTCTACTTCTTCGACCTCCTGCTGACTGCTAATAATAATAATTTCGTCTAGTTTTTCCCCAATCTCGTATATAATTTTACTACTAAAAAAAGGGAGGTTATGATCCTTCAAAATTTCTATTTGTTTTGGGGGGGGTTGGTAGCCAAAGATTAGAACAGTACTGTTAGTAATTTTGGTTAAATCAAGAGCAAAACTGTTTAAATTTCCCACCGTGGCATAAACAATTGAAAAGTTAAAATTAGGAGTATTTTTTTTTCTTGCTAGTTCGGCAAGGGCCTCCAAACTGTTTTGACTATCGGCACTCAGAACTAAATTGACATTTTTTTTCTCACTTGGGGGAGGAGGAATTAATTTCTTCTTTTTTTCCCAATAATTAATTAATTCATTCTCTATTTTGGCCACTGTTTTTTCATCGTTTATTACTAAAAACCTGTCTCCTAATTCTGCTGAAATATTTAAACCAACTATTTGAACTATATCGCTTGGACGAGCAGTAGTAATTTTCTGGCCGCTAATGCTAAACAACATTTTGACTTGAGCAAATTTCCCATTGAGGAAAATGGTATCCTTAACTCTTAATTCGCCGTCTTGGATTAATAATTCACTTACTTGGGAGTTAGTTTGAGGATGCAGATAACTGTCAATCACTACTCCTTGGGCTGGACGGTTAGGATTAGTTTTGAAGTCAGCAAAAAGCAGAATATTTTCGAGAAGATGCTGTACGCTTTCTTTTTCTTTAGCATTTCCCGAAACCACTACGATTTCTCCCCCTCATTCCAACGGAGTTAGCCCTCTTTCTTGACATTGAGTTCTAATTCTATTTAAATTGGCTTCGTTATTGGTTTCTTCGGGCTTTTTGTGATTAAGAAAAATGATGAGTGGTAAATTATACTCGTGGAGGTAATTGATAATTTCGGTTGTTTGCGACATTATTCCATCTTTAGCGTCAATTACTAAAACAACCAGGTCGGTTAAGGAGATTCCTCCCCTCCTCATTTTAATAAAATCACTATGCCCAGGAGTATCTAAAAAAGTAATTTTTTGGTTTTGAAACTCTACTTGAGAAACCGAAACTTTTTGGGTTATTCCTCCCGCTTCTTTTTTTTGGACTTGGGTTTGGCGAATGGTATCTAATAAAGTTGTTTTTCCATGGTCGATATGACCCATAATACTAACAATAGGAGGGCGAGAAACTAATGACCCTTCTTGGTTGCTTTTTTCTAAGTATTCTTGAACAATCTGGCTAAAATTTATCTCATTTTTTTTTGTTATTCCTATTTTGATACTTTGGCAATAATCGCTCAATAAATCTCGTGATAATGATTGATTGCGGCTAACACTTTGCCCTTTGGCTCAAAAAAAAGCAATGATTTCGCTGACTGGCTTACCAATGATTTCTCCTAACTCTACTGGAGTTATATTTTCACTCACCAGATAAAGGGTATTGTTTCTAAACTCATTAACAGTGCTTAGAATATTACGGCGAATTATTTCCAGGAGCAAAGTGCTGCTTTCGTTTTTTTTCATAGTGAAGGAGTTGTGGGTATTCAACAACATTATCAGATTATCAGAACTTTATTTTTCAATTTCTTCTACTATTTGCACCTCAACATTTTTATAATTACCGATTCCTTGTAATATTTTGCCCTTGTTTTCTACAACTTTATTTTCCTCCATTTCTTCCAATATCAGCACGTGAATGTTTACTTTTAAATACTCGCTAATCATTTTTAATAATTTTCCCTCATGTTGCAGGAGAAGGGAAACTTTTTGCTGCGGCACGACAATTTCTCATTCTTCTTCTTTTTTAATATTTAATTTAATTAATTTAACTGGTGAGAGCAATTTAGGAAGTAGTTTTTTTTTGTCTTCTGTCCAATCGGCAAAATCAATTCGTTCTGGATAAATCAGACGGGAAACGGATTTGGCTTTTTCCCCTTCTTCACCAATACAGGTTCCAGCCGGATCAAGTCTTAACCCCTTTTCCATCGCCACTTTACCTCTCTCAACTATTACTTTACTTACTAGCCCTGGCAGACGCAAAATATCATGAATGGCAATAATTCCTGCCTTTATTTGAGGAATTTCCTGTTCTAACAATTTACGGATAAATAAATCATCTGAACGAGTTAGAATGATTTGTGGATTATCCTCGGTTGCCTTTTCTCTTACTTCCTTAATCAGGAGACAGAAGCGTTGTCCCAGTCGCGGTTCTTCCCGTAGGGTTCATTCAGACTTGGCTCAATAACCAGTTCCTTTGCCTAAGTCAACTGCATAATATTTTTTTCCTTGAATGCTTTTGATATTGCCTTTGATTATTTCTCCTTGCTGCGATTTGTATAGTTTATATTGTCTCTCTCAACTGATTTCTTCAACATCTTTACGTAAGCGATTTTTTATCTCCTGATTGAGAGAAATAGATAAATTTTTAATGTCGAGGGGAAGGAAAAAATTATTGCCTTTTATTTTTCCCTCTTTTAGCAATTTGTTATCCTTAGTTATCTCTTTTTCAGGTTCATTAATGGCTTCAACTATTTTATAGAGACGATAAATGGACAACCCCGAGTCAAACTCAAAATGTAGTTCGGCTCCGGAATTTTCTCCTTCGCAATAGGACTTGCGAAAGGAGTCAATAATTATTTCCTTAATTTTTTCTTCCGAGACACCTTCGCGTTCGGCTAATTGTTTGATAAATTGTTGAGTATTATTGTTTTCAGTCAAAATCTTAAAATGTATTAATATATTATATAAGTAATTTTATAGAAATGG